AAAAATTTAAGTTTTCATCTGTTCTCGTGGCTCTGTGGAGGTCTCGACCTCTGTAAAACTGTACCTCTGCTGCGATTATATGGTAAAGAAAAGTTACCCAGTGTAATGTAAAGGATGGCCCTTCGTAGTGAAACAGGTGGAGGATATTAGTCAATGTGAAGATTATTATGGTCTATAACGTTAAGTGCCAGGGTGAATTTGACTCCAAAACAGCACAATAAGATTGGCGATACATGACCCATTAATTTTTTATAAAACTTCTTATCTGAAGTAGATATAGGGTAGTACAACGTTCAGACATCATTTTAATAACTTTCTACCTTTTCCGCTGATTGAAGACAAGTTCCGCGGCTTGATATGACCAGTCAGCTAACGTTAGCTGCCAAGCTAGACGAAGTCGTTGCCCTACCGTTATTTTTTGCTCGTGAACCCTGTTTGTATTCCTTGAGCTCGAGCCTTACGTGTAGCAGAACGACTGTAAAGCATCCACAATAAATTACCACGAAATTGCCACAAACTTGATAAACATACCTAGCGAACACACTTCTTAGGGTGACGATGCACGGCAACCTTTTGAGCAATGTTGCTGGCAAATGTTTCTCGGGCACTTTCCTATTGATATTGGGCCGCAAAGTTCTATTTGAAAACCTTCGATCAGCAGCTGGCAACTTTTCGCGATCATCTAGATACAGCAGATGAGCTGCCCTGTGGTTGATATTCTTCTCACAGATACAGAGAACATAAATCGGTAGCTATTTATAACCCAAACTTAAATGATATTTTTTTTTCATCCCGAACAACTAAGCAACGCCTGTAGAAGGACATTACTAAGGCTACATACAAAATGTGTATACAGTAGTCGAAAAGCATGGAGAACAGCGAGTTAGTTCCGGTAAAATCAGACAGTGATATTGATTGGTTGTCCACGGTAAAAACGTCATTCTTTGCGACAGTAACTTTATTTAGTAGCTACTAACTACGATGTAACTTAAGTGGCAGTAGTGCAACCGACAAAGAACGCAGCGCTAGTTTCAAACTATCTAGTTTCAACGTAAGACTTAAGGTATATACTTTACACCATAATTTACGATCGAACTTACGCTAAGCTGGTGCAACCCACCACTGTCAGCAGGACTGCAGAGGAAACTTAATCTCAAAAAGAGAAGCATAGCTACTTGACAGAATGGAGAACAGACAGGGGCAGACTTGCAGCACAGAGCAGCCTGGGAATTTGCTGTCAAGCGGCACCAATCTCAATTTCATATTTAGCCAGAACCTGGGGGGGCTTGACACATTTTGCCACTGGCCAGCCCCCATTTCGTAAATTTCCCGATGGCCAGTCTGTGCATGACAGCAGATGATGCTCAGGTATGCACTGCCATCCTTACTGCCAGCCCAACTGAAGCAGTATGTGACACTACGTAGCTAAAGCTACACTGTTTCCATTACGAGTTTAACTTGATTTGCTTCCACTATGTTCTTAAGTCGGGTCAATGCACAAAACACTATCTGTTGCCTTGCTGTTGAATCAGAATTAATCTTGTGCAAGGCAGGGAACTTTAAATGAAAACTCACCATTAGTGCCCTCCCCACAAAAAGCAGAAGATGTGAAATGTATTCTGCACTTAAGAGACAAAAGCGGAAAAAACGCTCTGTGGTTGCTCATTTCCTGTTCTCAGTCTTGGTACAGTATTCTAACACCAGACTGCAGAATACGGAAGTTCCGCTTAAACCTTCTCTCCCTGACGGAGTAGTGCTCGGGCTGGGGTAAGAACTGGGCAGAATTTGGTGATAAATCCCACAAGTGTGCCATTATCCTCTCCTCTGCGGAGGAGACACGGACGCGTGAGACGATGAGTCGAGGACAGAAGTCCAAGACACAGGAAAACGGCCCAAGTTCTCTGCTAAGCAATGAAGAGAACAACACCATAATCGACCTACTGGGGCGGAGATGTGTGGTAAGTGGAACATGCCCGTCTGCAGGGGGTTCCGGGTCGGTGGGCCTTGTCAGTCTTACAAGTGGACCCAATGGACCAAGGGCTTTTTTTTTACATAACTCAATAACTTAACTAGTATACTTTTTACCCTATTTCTGCTTTTTAAAAACGCACCAGACTGCTGCACTAATTGTGAATGTACAGATAACCGAAAGTAAATACCCAAAACCCATTTATAAGGCTCGCTTACAATAAACAGCAATGAACTAATCTTAAGGCCTGTATAATGCAGGTATGTTCCTTAGTGATGAAAATACACCAGTTTAATGTGAGACCTTAGTCCATAAAATGATAAATTGATATGATTTAAATGATAAAAATGTATATTCCTGACAGTTTTTGTCATGGTTTAAAATATTCTGCTTGGAGATCCCCAATTTCACCCAGTTTTAAGGTGTTTTTTGTTGCCTTTGTGATTTAAACCTTGAAGAAATAAGACAGTGGAAATTTTTGTATATATATGGGTATTTTTACATTTATTTAGATTATGTAAGAAATTTTTCAACTACGATAATAATCTAAGAAATGCCACTAAGCTTGGAGAGCTAACTTCATTAATTAAGAGTAAGGAAAGTATCAATGATTTAAATATTTTATTAATGAGACTACCACTGAGAGCAATAAATACACTTTTATTTCAAAATGAACATACTTCCTGTTCCTCTCTAAAGAATCTATGATCATGGATCATGAACAAAATTTGCTTTGCTCTGTTAGCTTGCAAGGGCTTAAATTCTACAGGAAGTGCTCAGTGAGGCCACTTCCTCTGTATCTATAATCAGAAGTTGTTGCTTCTGTCAGCCACACACAGAAACACACAGACTGCTTATAACAAAAAAGATATGTGCTTGCTTCTGTTTGATTTCGTTGTTATGTCACTTTTCTTTTTTAAAACGAAAACTTTTTTTAAAACTGCAATATTATATACTGGGTTGAGGTCAGGGCTCTGTGCAGGCCAGTCAAGTTCCTCCACACCAGACTCGCTCATCCATGTCCTTATGGACCTTGCTTTGTGCACTGGTGCGCAGTCATGTTGGAACAGGAACGGTCCATCCCCAAACTGTTCCCACAAAGTTGGGAGCATGAAATTGTCCAAAATGGCTTTGAATGCTGCAGCATTAAGAGTTCCTTTCATTCTTTCACATGTGTTTGTAGAAGCAGTCTGCATGCCTAGGTGCTTGATTTTATACATCTGTGGCTAAGTAAGTGATTTGAACACCTGAATTCAAAGATTTGGAGGGGTATCTCAATACTTTTGGCAACATAGTGTAAATATATATGTCCAGCTGAAAGAGAAATATGGTACAGTGTGTAATATCCACATTTTTGCAAATGTTATATGCAGTGATACTTTAAATATGTCCATGGGAGGATCCAGGCCCCCGCAACCTTGAACAGGATAAGCGGTTTCATAAAATGGGTAGATGGATGGATGGATGGATATATCTATGGGTTTTATGTATTTGATGCACTTCTAAGATTATACAGTCACTGTAGGGATGGAGTGATTTTAGGAGGGAGAGTAGGAGTGATGTGCGAGCATCAGCCGGCTCTGAAAGAAAATCATACAAGCGATGATTTGTCAGAGTTTATGCTATTAATGTCACTGCATTGTGCACCCTAATCCCCTGTTGGAGGGGAAACTGTGGTTTCAGAAAAGAAGCATCGCGCCACAGATGTAATGATTTTTTTTTTTATAACAGTTTACAGTGCTAAGACGTCTGGTATCATCGGCTTCTGTTTAATCAAGAAAAAAATGTGATGTTAATGCAAGGCAGAGCTGGGAGGCCCAGCAGAATGTCCCTTCAGATGGGATGTGACTCAAAAGCAGGAGACGAGTTCCTCTATTCATGACCTGTGTGAATCCCATCAGCCCTGTGTGACAAATGCTGAATAAATTCAAAATGACAGAAAACCTCTCAAAAAATTTTATATGAATTATTGTTCTTGGTGGATGAACCACCCCTGCAAGAAGGCCAGACCCAGTCATGTCAAGGGTACAGCAGGGGATAGTTCAGGTCCAGACCAAGATTTTGTTTGAACCAACCAGTTGAGTACTCTGTGACACTGACTCTTTATACTTAAGTGGTTGGTTGAAACAAAATCTTGGTCTGGACTTTTACTTTTAGGACCTGGATTATCCTCTGCTTTTACTGATGTTGCTCTATAGCTAAGTCAGCACTGCTACCCGCTTTAGCAGAGCCTATCTGTGAGAGTGTGTCCTGACTTTTCAGAGCTTGACCACAGCTGTGGCCCAGTTATTGATGGCTCTGCCTCACAGTCCCAACGAGTGGAAGCTCCAGCATTGTGGCGTGTTGTGTTTCGTCAAGGACAATCCACAGCGCTCCTATTTTATCCGTCTCTTTGACGTCAAGGTACAAAAATGATCTTGTCTTTTTAAATAGCTGTGTGTTTTATTGTGTGGAATAGCCCTGTATGGGAAGTGATTTAAACAATACAAATCAAATCAAATTATGACACAGCAAAAGATTGAATTTTGTGTATTTTACGCAGCAAGGAAAGCAGGTTTGGGAACAGGAGCTGTACAATCAGCTGTCGTATAGCTGCCCTTTCCCCTTCTTCCATACATTTGCTGCAGATGTAAGTATTCAGCTTCCGTATGTCTCACTGTTAAAGTCTGAGCTAATCCTTCAAGCTAAGAGGTCAGCAGCTAAAGACCAGACAAGCGATACTATAGTGGAACACTGGGTTGATGCTAAGTAACAAGGAGAGAACTTGACTGTGGGTATGTGATTAAGATTTCATTAAATCCAGTTAAAGTCAGGTCAAGTTTACTTGTAGGAAATATTGGGCATAGTTATAAATTTTTGCAAATTTTAAAACTGTAATTTTCTGATATGCGTCTTACATACTTCTCAACATGAATCTGCTATGAATTATTATGAGTGCAGGGTTTCCCAATTTTTTTATGTGCTGTCAAAAAATTCCTCTATTGTCTGACAGCTGTCTGACATAGATTTGAGAAATAGAAATGTTCTTGTGCTGCAGGACTGTCAGGTGGGGCTGAACTTTGCGAGTGAGCAGGAAGGAGAAATGTTCAGAACAATTGTGGAGGAGAAAATAAGTCAGAGAACCAATCGCCAAGGTTTGTACAGCTCAAGCAGAAAGTGCTCTTGTTTACTTCAAGAAGTGAATTGGAATTATTTCAGACTCCTAATGCTAGCAGTGGATAGTTATTATAAAACTCCATGTTTCTCAGAACAGATGCACAGCAGAGAAATCTATTAGTGTGTATTAGCGTCTGTTAGCATTCTGACAAAGATACTGATGAGCGGATAATCACATCTCATTTCTACTCTCTCTTTTTCAACTTCAGAGAAGCGACAGCATCCTACATCATCCCCTGCTGATGGTAACATCCTTTTTCTGACTTTTCTATCATTGCCTTTTGCTGACCTCACAATGATATAGCATCACTTTGCAAAGCTTTCAGACTAGTGGAAATTCTACGTTTTTTATTTCAAGAAAGTCAAAATTAAATCTTTTTTATAATTTTTTTTAATCAAATTTTGACCTTAAACTTGCTTTTAAAGCTGTATAAATCAGCTGGTTTCTTGGCAAATTATTGGCTTGCGATTTGGTGATATGTAATCAATGTGGTTGTGCATAGATTTTGATCCATTTATTTCGGGCTAGTAAATGTTCCTCTTACTCGGTATGAGCCAGTTGTGTTCTCCTTGCAGACAGAAGATTGCCTCCACCTCTTCCTCCACCGAATGGTAAGTCATGAAAGATGAACAGAAGGGAGTGTAGCCCCACTGACCATTTCTAATTGCTGCCCACTTGTTCGTAAATAAAATACAATGCAATTCAAATTCATATTACAAACCTCTTACCCAGAACGTTGACGAGCGTCTTTATCTGGCACATCATCTGTGACGTGATTCCTAGTCATGTTCTCTCCATGCGCTGTCAGGATCAATGTCGAATGTGGACGGAATGGCGACGGTGGACATCCAGAACCCAGACATCCTGCCATCGCGCTATCGCTCTACAGTTGCTCCCACCCCAGTGCCTGCCTCCTTCTCCAAGGGAAAAAAGGACAAAAAGAACAAAAAGAAAGGAAGCAAAATCTCCAAGGCTGATATTGGGGCTCCCAGTGATTTTAAGTAAGTTTTTGCCAGCAGATAAACCAACGTGCTGAGATACTTCAGCAGGATCTGGAATGAGTTTGGAAGATATTTAACACCTTTGCGAATCAAATCCTCATTAGTTTGAAAAAAAAAACAAACAAACACTTTTTTAGATTTGATATCAAGCAGACGTATATTTGTAGTAAACTCTACTAAAATAATCTTTGCATTTGCTTTTGTTTACAGGCATGTAACACACGTAGGATGGGATCCTAACGCAGGATTTGATGTAAGATTTTTTTTTTTATCTAAAGGAAAGCAACTTCAAAGATTACTTTGTCAGAGAGCCAGATTCCTTCCTGTCCTGACCAAAATTAAGCCTCCTTACATTGCGGTAGCAGTGTCTTACCTTGTATAATATACAAAGCACTAAGATCGATTTCCTTATTTTAGCAACAGTGCTGTAGGGCCACAATCCTACAGGACTTTTGAAGGACTATTGGTATTTCTTAGAATGTATTTCTTTAATGATTTTTTTCTGCCCATCAATAATTCAATGAAAGGCCTACCTTTCAAAACAAACCTTGACTGCAGTGCCTGCTTGCTTTTTTGTAGACAAACAACCTGGATCCTGACTTGAAAAAGCTCTTCAACTGTGCTGGCATCAGTGATGCCCAGTTGACAGATGCAAAGACCTCAAAGATCATCTATGACTTCATTGAGCAGTCGGGCGGCCTTGAGGCAGTAAAAATGGAAATGAGGAAACAAGGTGAGAACAATCCCTGGAAGTGTATTGTGTAAGATACAGTCCTGCTATTGAAGCCGGTGGCCTACGAATGGGGGCCTGTTTGATCTCCATGTATTACCTCTGATAAATGTTATCCTTGGTTTCCTCCAAGAATCTGCTCCACCCCCACCAGACAGAGTAGGGCCACACCCGACCCCCTCCCGAGGACGCACGGGACCCCTCCCCCCTATTCCAGGTCCACCTCGGAGTTCTGCACCCCCACCAAATCGTGGACCGCTCCCTCCTCCACCTCCTGCTGGAAGGAGTGGCCCGCCACCCCCACCTCCTCCTGCCCCACAGAGTCAGCGTGCTGCTGGGGCCCCCCCTCCGCCTCCTCCAGCGGCCTCCATGCAAATGGGAGGAGGAGGAGGAGGAGGTGGAGGAGGTCCCCCGCCTCCCCCTCCTCCGCCACCACCTCCCCCAGCTCCCAGTGTTGGTGGAGGTCTACCTCCTCCTCCCCCACCCTCGTGTGGAAGTCCACAAACACCGAGCCCGGCTCCATCTGGAGAAAGTAGAGGGGCACTGCTGGACCAGATCAGGCGTGGCACAAAGCTTAAAAATGTAAGGAAAACTGCTGAAAGCATAAAACCAGACATGGAATGTTCAGGTTCCACCATTTGAGTAAAAAGAGTCACATTCAACTAATTGGTTGAAACAAAATCTTGGTCTGGATTGGAACTTTCTGAACCTGAACTTTCCACCTCTGCATAAAATATGTGCATGCTATGCTACATATGATATGACTTTTAGTATAATCTCACACAACGCAAAGTAAACGTCACCCCAGAAGGCTAAACCCATAAACAACTCATGTCAAAGGAATTACAGCCTGTTTATTTATTTATTTTTTCAAGGTGACAGACAATCCTGAGCTTCCCCCCCCTGTGCAAGATTCCAGTGAAGGGATTGTGGGAGCTCTGATGATGGTCATTCAAAAGAGAAGCAAAGCGATTCACTCCTCCGGTAAGTCATATGCACAGTGGAGCATTGTTTAAGTAAAAGGCTAAAAGGCAACACCAAGGCATCAGGTGCAACAACAAAACAGGAACAAGCATCTGTGTTCATGCCTCAGTGATCTTGTGCCATATCGTAATAGATATAACAGCAAATACAGCAAACAGCTCAAGTAGTAGATCATGCACTGTGTGACCCCTTACATACACCTACATGATCCCAAGTGTGATTCTCTGTTAGCCCCTGAACTAATTCAAGGGTTGCCAAGTCATGTCTTTCTGCACTTCAGCTTTCTACACTGAGCTGTTACTTTTGCTTTTGTCACCTTCCTGGTAACTTCGGTCTGGCCATTTTCCACTCAGCTCTCACATTAACAAGATTTTTTTGTGCCACAGAAATGCCTTTGACCAGACAGTGTTTTGTTCATCACACAATTTTCTAAATCATAGACACTGTAGGAGGGCTGGATCTTTCTGAGATGTGGGAACCACCCTGTCTGGCACCAACCATCACACCATGTTTAAAATAGCTTAGATCAAGTGCTTTAGTTGTACTAAAACTTAACTAAGTAGTAGTGGAACCTCCCGAGTCTTCATGCTGCATGTATCCAATTATACCCAAATGATTTACTGTTTAAGTTCGCTTTGGCTGCTGAGTGCATATGAATATATAAAAAGCTATAGTTGTAGTTAATGTAATGGATAGTAATGCCTGTGAAACGTAATTCCCGCTGTTTTTCTCACCAAAGACGAAGGAGAAGATGAGGCCGTTGACGACGACGATGACGACGAATGGGACGATTGAACAGTTTCATATTTATTTTCCTGCTTTTGCTGTGTCCTTGACTGAGGGCATTTCTTCCTATGCTGGTCAGAATCAGGCCCCCCCCCCGTCTCTGGTAGGGGTGGGGCCATCGCAGTGAGACACACGGGCAGGACACCCCTCTGCCGGGAGGCTGGCAACATGCCAGCACCACAGGCAAGGGAGCCACTAGAGATTTTGGGCCCCAAGAAATTATATCGGGCCCCCAAGCCCAGACCAATCCAATTATGTTCCAAATTTTTTAGGGCTCTTGTCAGTCAGACGACAGCCCCCCCCCTTACGCCACCCGACCAAAGCTGGTGTTACGTTACATGAGCATTTTATACTGTGTGTATGCAGATTGGAAGTGCTCTGAATTTTACACAGAGTATAATCCCTCTGACTGGGTGAGTGGCTCTAGCTATTTGTGGCCTTTTACATCCTGCATCTGAAGCGTTTGCACAGTACTGAAGACAACTTTGATGTATCTAGTATCTATACTTACTTGCGTTCTTGTGTCTCTAATTAATTTCTATGGAATAAAAAACATCTTTTTTTACGATTACTTAAAACTGTGTGAGGGAAATGGCTATCAAATAAGTGTGTATGAATCTTTATTATTGAGAATATAAATTAAATGGTAAATGGACTGCATTTATATAGCGCTTTTCTACTCCTACAAGCACTCAAAGTGCTTTACAATTTATGCCTCACATTCACCCACACATCCACACACACATCCACACTCACATCCACACACACATCCACACACTGGTGGCAGAGGCTGCCATGCAAGGCGCCAACCTGCACACCAATTAAGGTCTTCTGGTACTATGAAGGTGTGTGTTACTGTGCCCTGCGATGGGTTGCCGCCCCATCCTGGGCTGTTCCCTGCCTTGCGCCCGTAGCCTCTGGGATAGGCTCCTGACTCCTCTGCAACCCAAGACACAATTCGTACCAACATTCACACTAAGAATTTTTGTGCCTAATTAGACCATCTTAAAAATATCTAAGTGAAGTGACTCAGATCAATATCGTGCTCATCATTCACTGAGAATGCATGAAGCAGGTCAGGAAAAACATAAGCGAATAGTGTACGGTGCTCCCTCTGTAGGAACAAATTTGCAGTGCTTGAGTTTTCCTGCTAGATTTTCCAGTTTTCTTATACGAGACCTGATAAATCTTTTAAATATTGAGATGCCTGTTTCCATAAAGGAAAAATTGTTTGATTTTTCCAACACATGTAAAGGATGTTGCTGATGTACTGTGTTTATTAATCAAACAGGCTCAAAAAGTGTTAAACTGTATCTAATAGCATGGTTGGGAAATGCTTACTTCAGTATTCAATCAATGAATACTGTATCAATTACATGCATAACAAATGTCCCCACTTTTATAAAATATTTATTTTCACTATACAAACTCCCAAATCAAAACATGTAATAATAATATTATTATACCAAACAACCATATTCATTTAAACTAGCATAGGTACACCTACACATGAAAAAATACAGATGTGTTTAACTTAGTCCAACAAACACACAAGCTGAAAATGACAGGAGGAAAAGGTGAACCAACCACACTCCCTCTGAGTGGTTTTTGCCATCTCATTAGCCAAAGCAGCAGCAACAATCGTGGTCAGGAACACATTCTGGAGTAATGGGAGAGATGGTGACTCTCTAGGACAAAGACTCATACTGATCACTATGTGAGAGCAGGACTGATTCATCCTGTGGAAACAGCCTCATGCAGTGGGTCAAAAAGGGGAAATCTGCATTCATGTTCATCTTCTGTGACCTATGGTCTTGATGGTGCATTTAAATTTCAGCCACAAAAGTTGTCAGTTAGCTGACCAGTGGGCCATACATGGGTCATTCCAGCTCATACGCAAGAATGCCTCAACTCTGGAAAAGACTCGCGTCCAAAAAACATCACATCGGCAATACTCATTCAATATGATTCCTCATGATTCGGACACCAGGCCAAGAGGGAAGATATTGCTGCCTGGAACGAAAGGAACATGGCAGCCGTCCTTTCTCTGTTTCCCTCTCAGGGTGACTTTCGTTAGAAGTGATATTCCGCAAAAGGCACCGAATAAAGCAGGTGCTGCTGCATAACATTTATCGTCGTCTTTTAAATGAAACGTGAAACTTGTATAAAATCTGGTGACCAAAAGCCAAAACTACAGTCTCATGGGAAAAGTCAACAGTTTCGAAATGGAGATATCATTCACTTCCATGTTTAAATTTAAAAGTATGAAACAATCCAAGAAACACAGAAGGTGCACTTTTTAAATGCTTTTAAAATCCAACAAATAACATTGTGCCATTAATACGGTGATCTGGAATGGTCTGAAATCAGAAACTGGCAAAGATAAGTATATGTCTAGTTTTAGAGTACAGATATTTAGACCAAGGTGAGTTTTCTTAATTTTTTACTTCTATTTTGTACAGGCAGAGTTTGCCAACTGTGCATGCAAAGCCACATAAGTGTCCTTTCTCAAAGCCACTTACTGTGAGTACTGGTCCTGTTCAGTAAAACACACATACACACATAGACACACACATAAATGTCCCCCCCTCACCCCAACCCCCAAACCCCCACCACCAAAGTGCATAATTTACAGGAATATGTACATTCTTAAAATAAATATGTCATGGCGTGGGTGAGAGAGCAAATAATAATAATATAAACAAAAAAAATAACAAAACAACTGTAACAGCCTGACATTAGTGACATTAGTGGCACATTCTCATGTACATATGAAGTATCTTTTCCATAATGAACTGTGACCTTCTCAATACGGAAGCAACAGGTTACGACTTATTTATGTAATACCTCATAGGGCTGCTAAGTACAATTTCTTCAGGCTTCTTATAAAATCTTGAACTCCCAGCAATCAAAAATAAGAAAGCAATTATAAATGAGCATTGGTACTGAAGATGAGTTTCAGCCGAGAGTAGCTTTCCGTGATTCAGAAGGTCAACGCAGACTCTGTGGTGACCTTGATGACAATATTAATGACGTAAAATATAATCTGTGGGAAGACAAAGCAGTTCTTTGGGCAGATTCACCAACTACTGAATGAAGCTTTTCTATTAAAATGTAGCATCATGTTCTACTTCATTATGGCATCTGTTACCGTTGGCTTCGGCAAATTCCATCTCAATCCCAACATAGATAAAGGTTTCATGTGGATGGCGAGGCCAGTTAACAAAACTCCTTCCAGTTAGCTCCACCACACGCTGAACCATCTGAGGCACAATTTTGCAACCACAGAGAAGACATTCCCTTGCCCCCCCCCTAAATCTACACCTGTGAATGACAGGCAAACTAAACTATGGCTGACTATCAAGAACAATGTCATGTTTCTTTATTGATCTATACTCCAATGCTGGTTAACAAAGCACTCTTAGTCAAGACTGGTAGCTTGATTCTGTTTGCTTTGTTTGGATCCCTCTGGTTTTAGCAGGAACTGAGAACTCATTTTGGTCCACTAAACAAGTCCTGTGTCACAGAAAGAGCCTTTTGGTACTAATCCTCCCTATGTATCAGTGGGTCTCTTAACTCTTTCCAGAGCTGTATTCTGCCCTTATTGCTCCACATTACACATTTTATTGACTTTTTAAGTGTTTATTACACATGACAAAAATCCTGTTACTGTTATTATGACCACAGGATACATACCAGTAGATCATTCACCGTTATCTCCATTTCAGGGTCAAAGGGATAACCCAATACATCTCTTTGGTCCACTCCTGCCCTTCCATTGGATTAGGCTGGTTCAGTGGAAGTTCTTATTTCCTAGTCCCACTACTATTCAACATTATATGCTGTTTTGGTATACAGTGCAATTATTGGTTACATCAGACCTCCACAGAGGTTGATCATTAGTCAACTTCGTTCTCACTATACCTTATGCATCTGGCTAGGTTTCTAAATGGCCAATGATCACAGCTGTGTATATGGTTTCTTGTCCAGCATACCAGGTAAATGCATTTGCTTTAAACGGTAAAGCTGTGGAGCAGAAGAGGTCAATCGTGCAGAGAGAAGAGCACCGGCTGCGGTTCCCTGTTTCATGACGTCCCTTACATAAGCGGTAGTTGCAGGGAAAAGGTAAATAGCACTGAGTTCATCTACAATACTGTCACCAAAGGAGCACCATTCTACTGGCATACCCCCAACTAACAGCTTAAATCAGGGAAGGCTTCCTCGCATTAACTAACTGAGTAATCTGTGAATATGAATGCTAAGCTGGTCAGTGACAAGCCCAAGCAGACTTGACACATTTGAATGTAGTTGCTCTGATGAGACACCAGTAAAATGCTACCGGTCCTTAAGCTTCTTTCTTAGTGAAGCATTTTGATTTTTGGTTTAATTTTCATGATTCTTGTCACTATCATTCTGTTTGGAATTATTTACGTATTCTGACTTTGGAATAAACCAGGACCAATAGAAATCTTTATACTAGAGCAGCCCAATTAGAAACATAGCTATTTGAGATGTGAGCAGATTTCTAGTGGGTATTCTGTGCATTGGCTGTTTGATAACACAGTGCAGCTTAAATGAAACAATATTATGATGCACAAAAAAGAAGGCGTGCCAGTCTCTGGTGGACCGATTCCCGGAATTGGGTCCGACCTTGGCCATGTAGGGATGAAGTCTTGAAAGCTCCCTGCGTTTGCTCTCTCAGGCTGCTGCAGCCGTCACACTCTGTCATGGTGCCACCTTGTGGTTGGGAGTGTCTACGCCCAGGGTGAGTGCAGCAGCTGGGAGTGGGAGCAGAGACGCATCAATTGTGGCTGGCGACATGCCGCCGGCTGGTGCGTTTAGACTGCTGGCTGGGCTGGATTTGCTGCCAATACGACTGGCAGTACTGGTTGATGAGCCGGACTTCCGGCTCTGGGTGGAATTGCGGCGGGACTGTCTGAGGAGGGGGTGGTGGTGGCGGGGGGTAGGGATGGAGGTGCGGTCGATGCTCCTCAGATGGGACATCGGGGGCGGTGAGGGCATCCACAATCTCGCGATCCAGAATACGCAGCGCCACCCGGGCCACCGTGTGTTTGAACTTGTTCTCCGTGGCCAGGCAGTGGTACAGCCCACTATCTGACTGGGCCAAGGACTTTAGCAGGACCCCGTGACCCGTTTTAACCACCCCAGCGTCGCGATTGAGCTGACACAGCAGGAGCCATTGAAAATGAAAAAGGGACGCAGAGAAAGAATCAAAAGTTAGCAAGACAGACTAACATCAGCTCATTCCTGCTCTGCTGTGACTTGTTACAGGCGAGATTAGGAATGTGCTAATAGCAGATTAACAAAGTAATTATAACAGAAATGGCACTTTGGGGACAGTCACTGTGGCCTGACTCACCACTTTTCTCTTGCCATCCTTCTGGAAAAGCCACTTGACGGTAGCTTGTGGAGACCGGGGCTGACACTCCAGAAACGCACTGCTTCCCTCCACCCCAAACTGAACGGTTTCTTTGAGCCGATTCTCTACTGGGGCAGCAAAAGGAAACAAAGATTACTGGGTTACAACCTTGTTAATTATTTAGAATCTTTATGCAAA